GACTTCTGGATGGACCCGAGCTCAGGGCCGCGGTGGCCTAGCCCTTCAGACTGCGGGTGAAGTCGGGCGGCGTCCGAGCCGGGAAACATGGGGCTGGATGGGTTCCTTGGCTTAGGGGGCGAACTCAGGGCCTGGGCTTAAGGCGGGGCGGGGCCTTGGGCAACCTAGGACAGGCAGCCTAGGCTTGACCTGGGTGTGGGAGAGCCCTGGCGGGAGCGGGACCCATGGCCCTCCCATGCGCCCCGCCCTCACAACCCGCCCCTCGCCCTCCCGCCCACAGCGCGCGAGGCGGGCAGCGCGGTCGAGGCCGAAGAGCTGGTGAAGAGTGGTCTGGCGTGGGAGCCGCATGCCAACGACACGCGGGAGGAGGCCGGCCTGCCAGCAGCTGGGGACGATGAGACCTCGTGGATGGCGCCCGGCGGCGCCAGAGGGCCCGAGGAGGTGCTGCAGACATCGGTTGCAGTGACCGGTACCACCTGGCTAGAGGCTGACAGCCCAGGCCTGGGCGGAGTGACCGCAGAGGCTGGCAGTGGTGATGCCCAGGCCCTTCCAGCCACGCTCCAGGCTCCTGTCGAGGCCCTCGGGCAGTCATCAATGGTCCCCACCACTCCTGAGGCTGCAGAGGCCAGTGGACCACCCTCCCCCACCCCTGGCGACAAGCTGAGCCCAGCTCCTGAGCTCCCCAAGGAGAGTCCTTTGGAGGTTTGGCTGAATCTAGGAGGCAGCACACCCGACCCTCAAGGGCCAGAGCCAACTTCCCCCTTTCAGGGCACACCGGAGGCCCAACCAGCATCAGATATAATTGACATCGACTACTTCGAAGGATTGGATGGTGAGGGTCGTGGTGCAGACCTGGGGAGCTTCCCAGGGTCACCAGGAACCTCTGAGAGCCACCCTGATACTGAGGGAGAGACCCCCTCTTGGAGCCTGCTTGACTTATATGATGACTTCACCCCCTTTGACGAATCTGATTTCTACCCCACCACATCCTTTTATGATGACTTGGATGAAGAAGAGGAAGAAGAGGAAGATGACAAAGATACAGTGGGAGGTGGAGACCTGGAAGATGAAAATGACCTCCTAGTGCCCACTGGGAAGCCTGCTCTGGGGCCTGGGACAGGCCAGCCTACCAGTCGGTGGCATGCTGTTCCTCCTCAGCATACTCTAGGGATGGTCCCTGGCAGCAGCATCGCCCTCAGGCCCCACCCAGGAGAGCCAGGCAGAGACCTGGCCTCAAGCGAAAATGGCACTGAATGCCGCAGTGGCTTTGTGCGGCATAATGGCTCCTGCCGGTCAGTGTGCGACCTCTTCCCAAGTTACTGTCACAATGGCGGCCAGTGCTACCTGGTGGAGAACATAGGGGCCTTCTGCAGGTAAGGGCGTGGCAGGCAGGTTCACAGGGACTTGTAAAAGAGTGCTTGAAGAGTGTATGTGAGATAGACACAGCAAAGAGGGCAATGTGACAGGCACAACTTCCAAGAGGTTGTACAGTCATAGGATTCCCAGGTCAAGAAATACTTGCTCAGGTTTCCTTTAAAGAATTATTTCTTAAAATGTACATACTGTGATCTCATCACTGGGAGAGGTTCCTCAGAAATAAGATTGTAAATCGGGCTCGGTGGCTCAGCCTGTAATCTGGCGCCTTGGGAGGCCGAGGTGAGTGGATTGCCTGAGCCTGTGGGTTCGAGACCCACCTGGGCAATTTGGCGAGATCTCATCTCTACAATAAATCAAAAAATTAGCCGGGCGTGGTAGCACGCACCTGTAGTTCCAGCTACTTGTAAGGCTGAGGCAGAAGGATCACCGGAGCCCAGCAGGTTGAGGCTGCGGTAACCATGAGTGGCCACTGCACTCCAGTCTGGGCGACAGAGTGAGACTCCAACTCAAAAAAAAATAAAGAAAGAAAGAAATAAGATTGTATATTTTCTGTAAGTGTTGTGTCCTTAACCAAACTACTCAATTATAAAGGCAAAAATGAACGGACTTCTCTAAGGTTTTAGACAGAGGCCTTTGCTGAGTTGCAGGGTTTCTGTTGGAGGATACTGGCTGTACTAGTAAAAAGGGTAGGTCCAGCCGGGTTTGGTGGCTCACACCTATAATCCCAGCACTTTGGGAGGCCAGGGAGGGAAGATTGCTTGATCTCTGGAGTTTGAAACCAGCCTGTGCAACATAGCAAGACCTTATCTCTACAAAAAAAAAAATCAAAAAATTAACTGGGCATGGCGGTGTGTACCCGTAGTCCCAGCTACTCAGGAGGCTGAGGTAGAAGGATCGCCTGAGCCCAGGAGAGGATGCAGTGAACCATGATCATGCCACGGCACTCCAGCCTGGGCAGTAGAGTGAGACCCCGATTCAAAAAGAAAAAGAGTAGGTCAATAAACCTACCCTGTAGAGTAAAGATAGCTGCCGATCACTGCCTTCAAGCCATATGTATGGCACGAGGAGGACCGGGTCTTCTGGAAGGGAATGTAAAGTCAAAGTGAGGACCTTCTTGGGAGCAGCCACTCAAACAGGTAAAATCAAGCTGAGAGCCTTTCTTCATGTTGCAGATTGGAAGTGTTTCTTGACTTTGGCAGGTAGCTTTTTTCTCTCTACTTTGATGTTTGTCTATCTTGGGATACCAAGTCCATAATGCTTTTAAAGACTCAGAAAGCTGAGGGTCCCTAGGGGCATTGTCTGCAGGCACCCTCCCATGCCTCATCAGTAATTACCCCATTCACTTCACTCTTAGGAACTGCCCTCACAGTGACCATTTAACTTGCTGGAAAACCCACAGCCTGACTCTGGAAGAATTCCAAGTCAGGAGTGATCTGGTGATTTGCTTGTTACCATATTTCTTTTTTCTTTTCTTTTTTTTTTTTCTTTTTTTTATTTTTGAGTTGGAGTCTGGCTCTGTCACCCAGGCTGGAATGCGGTGGGGCATACTCATAGCCACCACAGCCTTGACCTGCTGGGCTCCGGCGATCCTTTCACCTCAGCCTTCCAAGTAGCTAGAACTACAAACACGTGCCACTACACCTGGCTAATTTTTTGATTTATTGTAGAGATGAGATCTCACTAAGTTGCCCAGGCTGGTCTCGAACCCTTGGGCTCAAGCAATCCTCTCACCTCGGCCTCCCAAACTGCTGGGATTATAGGCGTGAGCCATCGTGCGTGGCCCATCGCCATATTTCATAGGCCCTAAAAGTGGCATAGGGCCCTCAGACTCCTTTGAGACTTATTTCTACTGGTCCTTAGTGGAGCATTTCTGTTATCTGGGTGTCTCTTTTTCAAGTGTTGCTATTGTTGCTTCTTTCCTTGTTCTTTTTTGAATGTATGAAGAATCTAGGTTCCTTAGGTCTTGATGTACTGACAGGTGAATAACATATAGAAAACAATGAATATTGTGCCCTTAGCATTCAAACTTGAGTTTCCTTTTCGTTCTATGGAGTTGTTTTTTTCTTTTTTTTTTTTTTGGTTTTTTTTTGAGTTGCAGTCTCACTCTGTCACCCAGACTGGAGTACAGTGGCCACTCCCGGCCACCGCAGCCTCGACTTGCTGGGCTCCGGCGATCCTTCCGCCTCAGCCTTCCAAATAGCTAGAACTACAGGTGCGTGCTACCACACCTGGTTAATTTTTGATTTATTGTAGAGATGAGGTCTCGTCAGGTTGCCCAGGCGGGTCTCAAACCCGCAGGCTCAGGCAATCCACTCACCTCAGCCTCCCAAAGCACTGGGATTACAGGCTGA